CTCTCACAACAACTGATTTGCTGATTTACAGTCTATTGCAGTGAACTTCTAATGAGATAAATAAGGCACAAAAAAACCAACGTGTGACATGCATTGGCACCAGTTCGCCAGTGAGCAATTTAACTTCAATCATTCCTTTACAGCTAGTTATTTCTTCCAATACTTTTAAGAACAAACAGCAGCTGCTAAAGCCAGACAGCTAAAATTAGTTCTCTTGTTAAGGCTGCTTACTCTCCAGCCATAAATAGCTATACAGTGATTAAAACGGTCTTTAAGCAAGTTGTTCATCTGACTTACTTTCAACAGACTTTAAATAAGATTTGTTTGAGGCATGTATCAGATGGGCATTATGCTGCTGGTTTTCGGTGAGGAAAATAGTCCATTTTTGCCACAGTAGGAGGTGAGAATAAGTGAAATGGTGTCCCCTGAGAAATCTGAAAAAGAAGAGAGAATAGGAATCATCATACTGTTTATGCATTACATGATGATAATTAACAATGCATTTAATATCAGCCTTACCCTCTGACTTCAGGCGACTGAAACAGCTATGAACTAATTATTCCGCACACCTGTTTGCACCTGAAAAGCAGATTACCTGAACATCCACCTGGCCACAAAAGGTGGGGTAAGGGGCCAGAAGGCTAAAAATAGCATGGTGCTGGGGACTAGGAAAAGCACAGCCCTGGGACTGGAGCTGGGGCCAGTCGCTGGGCTTTCCCAGCCCTGTGGCTGCAGTAAGAACTGTCCAGAAGTTCAGGTAGATCAGTTTTGCTGGACTGGGTCTAAGTGAGACTACCTCCAAGGTAGAGTTAAAGGAGATGGGGTTGGCCATTTGTAGACCAATCTCAACTTCCTAAACTTCTGTACAATTCACACGTAGATTGACCTAACTAGGGATCCAAGTGCAAGGTCAGCACCTGGGTGAACTGAAGTTGGATCAGGTGGCCATTTTTAATGTGATCCATCTTCCCCCTGACCTCCCCAAACGTCTGTCCCTAGCTCAAGAAAAAGAGCTCCGAAATCAACTACATCAGCAATTCTTCCTTGTAATGACTGAAATCCTTTTTTTTTTTCTCCAATTGGCTTGTGCAATTTAAGTTTTGAAAAGTATACTCAGTAGTTTCAAATGACAGAGACATGGAAACAGCAGCTTAATGGCATCCAAAGTGTTAGCATTATGAGCTTTGTATGAATAGTCTTATTGATCTGATTTCCTAATGCATTCTCTTCTCTTGCACAAAGATCAGAGGCAGGCTCAAATACTTAACAAATGCACAGTCAACATGAAGACTGGTAGCATTAACTTCCCTTTCAAATGAAATCTGTGCATTCAGTCCTTGACTCACTCACACAAAACAATCCCTATATCAGTGATGCTCAACAAGGGTGCTCAGGCACTCTGAGGTGCCTTGAGAACCTTTCATGCAGGTTATGTGCTGCTGTGCAATGTTAGCACTGTTAAGAGAGCAAATGCAAGTCAGGAGATAAAAGTCACAGATTTCAAAAAGGAATCCATACTGTCAAAAACACTTGTGACCTGTTGTAGTCTTTCCGAGTTCTTTGCAGCAACAGAATTGCTCTATTATTTTTCTGAAGTGAAAATTAAGAGCTGGCATTTTTCGAGAGGTGCCTCAAATCTAAAAAAGTTGAGAGCCACTGTCCCATATGAAATGGACTGATCCTCTGTTGCCCTGTACCTTGGACAGTGCTCTGCGTCAGTGCAAACTGAATGCAAAAAGAGTGTAAAATACTACCATTATCTTGTTTATGATTTACACTCACTTTATGCTGGTGTAAATTATCGTACATGGCAAGAGTAACAGAGAATCAACACATTAACTTGAATGGATAAAACCCCAATGCCATGGTTCTGAAAGTTGCCATTAGAAAGAAGTCATGAAACCAAAGAATCCATCTCATGCTGGGAACTTAGCTAAGGAGTCCATGCAAATGTAGCGTTAGTACAGAATTGGACTTTGTACAAGAGTGAAGAATTGAACTTGACCCAGTTCACAACATCTTAGTGGAACTTCCAGCACTAGCCTGTCTAAACCAAAACAAGAGGAGAAAGGAGCTTCCGTGGTTAAAAACAATACAAAAAACAATCTTAGGTGTCCTTAAAGCTGATCTTGTAAAAGCAATGGGTATTTTTGTTTCTGGCTTTGGTCAAGTGTTTGTACAGTGCTGCCTGCATTCAAACCCATGCATGTCCTGCAGGAAGCTCCCTACTATATACAATAGCTAAGCAAACTAAAAGCCTGCAAGCTACAACAGGAAAAAGAGTTCACTCAAAGCTATACGACAAAATAACTTCTGTGACCTACTTCCCCCCTCCAATGTCTTCTACACTTCAGTTTCTGTGAAAAACTGATGCTCACTGATTCTTATGCTCATTTTGCAACGGTCCTTAAAGAGTGTTGTAGGATTAATTCTTCTTCCACTTCTAAACCCTCCTTCAGTGTCATATACAGCATTTTTAAAATAGGCAGAGATACCAAGTAGAAAATACAGCTATGAGAGACAGAACCAGAACGATTCATTTCACGTTCTGAAGGTTCAGAACTGGAGTTTAGCAATCCCTCTCTGCACATTTCACTTAAACTATATAACTAATTGACAGCCTATGAAAAAGTGATTAGAAAAACTGAAAACCATGTGTCAGATAAATCCAGAGGGACAGCATGCCCACTTGCAAATTATATAGAACAGCTAGCCCAGATGCAGTATTATTACAGATCATTAAACAACTTGATAGCCAAACTAGTGACTGAGCAGTGACACAAGGGGATCAATGATTGAAACCTGTTCTCGGGGCAGCAGGCCATACAAAAGAAATGTATGACATCAGCAAAACTATACCTTTACCTTTAGCAAAGCAGGTCCCTTCCTTAAATGCTCTGCAGGGAGTGTGATATGATATCAGAATTCCAGCTTTTATTGAAATAAATGAATCCTCAAGGTTATGAAGAAAACTTTGAAAACATGAGGCAATAATTAACAATACAGTCTGAGTCTGCAACCACCTGAAACAACAGCTCTCAGAGGGGAGAAGTATCCCATGTATTTCACTAAGGGGCTAATTCATGATCAGCTACTCTGGCAGCCAGCACCAGATCACTAGTAGATACAAGCAGAAAGGCCAGAGTGCAACAGCCCCTGTCTACCCATTGTTGCAGATAAATCCCAACTCCTGCAGTAAGTATTGTGGAAACTGTCTGTAAAGGAGAGAGGAAACAATATTACTCCTAGAGGTACCAGGTTCCCACTGCTATCACCGAGAAAAAAAAGGGTACAGCCAGCCACCTGCATACCAGCTGGGAGGTAGGACCATAGGGGAGCCATGTTCTGATGAATTTCTATCTCCTCCACAGGTGAAACACTCAGTGTTTCAGTAATGTCATTTGGTGTGTGATTTTTTTTCCTCTCAGTGACAGGTGTCCTCCTGTACATATAGGTACAAAAAGTCATGAAAGACTGAGGAAGGTTATTTCATACCCCAAAAGCCCATCTACCTCTCTCCCAACTGTATAGTTGGTACAATAAAAGATATCATCCCACAACAATCCTTGCTTCATACGTGATAAGGCATTCTTAAAAACACACGTATTTACATTAGGAGCATTTGCCAATTTAGCCTTCTTAACGACCCTTTCTAATACAGACATGGCCTCAGCTTGCCTGAATCCATCACTGCTTTCAGCTAAAAGATGCTGTTGAAAATTCAGCCTTGACACAAGAAAGGAGTGGAACAGTCCTGTGGGAGAAGTCACTGCAATGCCATGTCAAGCAGCACGTCTAAGTTAACTTCTAGAGCGCTGTTTTGAATGTGATCCAGGCTGAAGCAGACTGAAAGTTTTCTGACTGATGCTCAGTAGCCTATGAAGATAAAGTAACAGTCTCAGCCCAGTTGCTAGTGATGAGCTGCCTACAGCACAAAAGCTATTACACTATGATAAAATGTTGTTATTGATCTGATGAGAGAAGACAAAAGTCAGAGTTTTTTTCCCCTCCCACTGACAGTCCCTCATGCACAAGTTTGAGGGATGGGAGTGGGGCAGAGCAGAAGGACAAATACAATTTCCAGCAGAAAAACCCAAAAGCTTGTGCCTAGGTAAACGGTTTGTTAATACATGCCTGGAATACAATGCATTTTTTTCAGAATGCAAAATAAATCAGCTACAACTCAGTTATTCATAATCATTTTTCTATGTTGACTTGTTTCTTCAAAATTCAGCTTTTTCATCATTTTGATAATGTACCATTAACACAGTTTGATGTCAGTCTCTTTTTTCCAGTGAAATAGCTTTCAGTTCTAAACTTGGGAATGTCTGTTTAAGAAAACAGAAAGAAACATAACACAAAGCACAAAAGCCTCTCTTCTTTTCTTTTTAATTTGGTTAAAACAAATGAGTAACATCCCAAATATTTTCATTTGGTATAAATCAGCTTCAGTCACCTAGTTAAGTCAGAAGAATTGAAAATATATTTGTTTTTATCATTTTTCATTTAAGTTAGAAAAACGTAAAAATGACATGCAGCCAATTAGCAGGTATCTCTAGTTAAAAAACACCAAAGAAAACTAGGTGGCAATTGTGTGGAGAAACATATGAAAGCATTTTTTGAGACACAGAAAAGGTGCAGTGAATAAGATAAATGTGAAATTTGATGTTAAAAAAGTATAAGCTGTTTTTTTAAGGTGTGCAAGTGAGCATTTCTGACTCACTTCAATAGGAGCAATGAATGCTCAGCAAGGCTGAGAAGCAGACCATTAGCTCTAATTGCCACTGTTATCATCATCTATTATTATGTGCTATAAAAAACTAGGCGTAGATTGAGTTAAATATTACAATGTGAAATAGGAAATTTGCAAAACCCAAAACAGAATGGAAAAATCACTAGTGACTGAAAAATAAGCTTGCAGAAAAATAAAAGCCACCACCACATAGACGATTAATGTCTAAAGGCAATAGCTGAAGAAAAAGCTGATGGCTCTTACTTCCCATAGCATATACCATTTACCTATGAAAGAAAAGAAATCTGACAAAATTGTATGGAGGACAATGGCCTCAAAAATGCAAACAGCCTATCCCAGACTACCAATGATTATAAAAAAGGAAAAAATATGAAGGGATACAGTTCTCTGTTCAGGCCACATTCAATTAACCTGATGCCAACATAATCCTAACATGCTAGAAAATATTTGTATAGAACTGCCTGAAATCTGCAGCACAACACTTCTTGGATTTGTTTCTTTCTTTAATGTATATATATTTATGTGCTGCAATGTCAGTATCAGTTCAGATGATACTTCTCCATTTGTAAAACTAAGGTTTGTTTTGTTGTTTTTTTACATGAAAAAATGAAATACAGGGCAGTTATTTTTCAACAAACCCTTCTTTTCCCTAATACATG